TGATTCCCAGTCAGCTGTTTTTTTCAATAGGAATGAATCCTTTAAGTGAACATGTAGGCAGCTGTGCACAGAGGGAATATTAGGAAAGAAAAGCATTTTTGTTCCTCTATTTATTATTTAAAATCATGTATCTTTCTTTCAGGCAAAGTCCTGCATAATTTACCGGGACTTAAAACAGCAGTAGATTTTGGCTCATGTCCATGGAGCTTGATAACTTCAAATTTCATAAAAATATTTTACTTAAGAATTTTTTGTGGTTGAGCCATATTAGAATGCATATTTGATTTCATCTTGCATGCTACACAAATGTGTTTTGCAGTTAATAAAGTTACAAGATCTTTAGTTCACATAAGATAATTGCTTCTTTACATACTTCAACACAAAAGTATCTAAACATTTTTGAAGCATAGGTTAAAAAAAACCCAAGATGATTACATGATACATTTTACATCTTTTCTTTGCAGTCTTTAACTCTTCAGCATCCATAACTGAATGGATAGAAACTCAGAGAACTACACTAAAATACTAATTTCCTGATGAAGTTCCAAAAATGAGTCAAATGAGTTCCAAGAGGTATTTTTAGCTTGCATACCTAAGTGAAGGCGTTTTTTAAGATTTCATGGTCTGTCTGTCTGTCCATTCCTCCCCTGCTTCCATTTTTGAAGTGCCTTGTCCCATTGCTCATGCACAGGAAAGATGGACAGAAATCCCCACTTTGCCACTCATGAGAGCATGGAGAAAAATACTTCATTCCTGACATTCACCTTCTTTGCTCTGAAAAAGCTTACTGGAGGACACAGGCAAACTATATTAAAAAGGAAATCAACCACAGAATAAACAAAAAGCAGAAAAATTGCATTACCTTTATATACACCTCACTTTGAGCACTGTGAGAGGAGATACTCAGGTGGGCAAAAAAGTGTTATAAAATACTGAGAGTATTTTGATAGAAGCCATTTATGGAGATGTACTTAAACAGAAATTCAGGCAGTTTTAAATTCTGCTTAGGCCACTACAAGGATCAGACTACACATTAAAGGTTTTGTGGAAAAGGCATGCCTTGTCTGAAGTTACTTATGAATTAATGTAGTTCAGATATAACATAGGAGTTTGGATTAATGGTTGCAAAATGGTTGCAGAGCTTAGTGTTCCTCCCCCAGAAAATTATTTTTTAAGCTTCAGGCTGACTGGCTCAAGACTGAGAATAATTTTGAAATATTTTTCCTAAGATCCTAACCTTAGAAGAATTCAGTCAGATTTCCACAACTTGAGCTTTGGATCAGCACAGCTTCAGCCTCCCAGGCTTTATGATTACAGGCAAAAATAAAAGAAAGTATTTTAAGTCAGATTAAATCACTGAAATGCTCTGGTAACATCTAAATTTATAACTAAAATTGTCAGGGCTTGTTTTTTCCCCTGAGGCCATCTGGCACAGCTAGCCATGTTCCCTCTATTAAATGCTCTGGTGTTTTCAACAGGGTAGCACAACCAGGCCATGAACTGAGAACAGAGCTCAGATGACTTCAGTTTGATTGTGAATAAGATTTTTTTCTGCAGATTTTACTCATGTTAGGGCAAAAACTGTCTGAAATTATATTAACAAATCATCAGTATGATTCAAGTCCAGTGCCTAAGTCCAGGCTGTACCACTCCTTAATTTTTAAGTCACTGATGAGACTTGTTCTAATTTCAATCAACAGTACTACCCATTTGCTCAAAATCATGTTTGTAGATGGGATTACTTTTAGCCTTTTAACCAAGTATTGAATTTAAATAAAGGCATAAAGATAATTTGGACACACGGAGACTGTCCTCTTTTTACTCATTTCTAATCACAAGTGGCTATCTTGATTTTGTGATGGGGTCCACTTTTTTAACTCTGTTTTCATGCTTCCTTCCCTAGCCTGCTGTTTATGGTACTGCTTTAGCAAATGCTTGTCTTTTCCTATTCCTTATTCAATTCTGGGACACTTGCCTCCCTAGGGAAAAAATAAAGGAGAACTATGAACAAATACGTAATGAAGTAGTAAGACTAAAGCTTAATATATCACAACTATTAACAAAGAATAATAAAATTTGTTTTATGACCTCATTAGAAACTAAATATTTGACATTTGAAAAGCCTAAAGCAGGTGTCCTCTGCCTCAGCCTGCGATTCCTGAGGGGTGACTTGGGAAGGTATGTACCAGCAGATCTATTTGTGAATACTACTATTTTTCTATTTTGAGGTGTTTAGTGAGCTGAAATGTGGTGCAAATAATCAAAACTTTGACAGAATAAAACACATGCATGATGTACGATCCACATTCTGAGGGCAATGACTAACTAATATGCTTTACTGATGATTAAAAATCTGACAAAGAAACATAAGCAACCGAACAAATTAGGAGTGTAATATTTTCAAATACAAGTTATATGACTAAGAAATGCAAGGTGCTGTGGAAGTTCTACAAAGCCTATATAACAGCTGAGTAACTGGCAATCCATTAGTTTTTTCCAGGCTCTGGCAACTTCCTCAAAAAAACTGGCCTTTAGTCCAAGTGAGCTAATAGGGATCTTCAAGTTCCTCATTAAAAAATATGTTTGGAGAATTATTCTGAAAATACAATGCTAAATTTCAGAGAGTGAATTCATAAAAATTTTTCTCTAATATTCCTTGAGATTGATTTGGACATACAGAATAAATCTACTGTCTTGCAAAAGAAGCAGCTTAGCAAAAGACTAAAATAATTTAGAAATTCCATTAAGCAAATAACAAAATTAATTAAAATCAGTATAAGCAACTTCATATAAGAGATTTGAAAGTGCTAATGAAAAAGTGAAATATCCAGCTGCTTTGGAAAAAAAATCAGTTTTGGAAAAATGCTCTTTTTGAATTGCAAAACTTTATTTTTTGGTAGAAATGAAAGATTACTTAATAAATTTGGCCTAATTTGTTTTAAGGTTTTTTTACAGTATTTGGGGAGATATGTTAGTTTGTAATCAAGCAGTTCTTAAAACATTAAGTCAAGATGTCTGACTGTAGTACCAGTTCAGTACTAGCTGGTAGAGTTTTCTACTGTAACTACCATGTTAGTATTGAACTTTTTAAGAAAATATTAGAAAATCAAAACTGAATTAATTCTTCATTCTGCAGAAACTGTGATGTTTTTAATTATTCATGCTAATAAACTGAATTGAGAATTGGTTATAAAAAAGATATTGTAATGTTAATGCTGTAATTTGTAAATGTTAAAACCTCAGTAAATACAATGCGCTGAAAATAAAAAGGGCTGAGAATTAAATGAAACATTTTCAATAAATGCATGTTCAAAGAAGAAAAGGTTTTAAATTTTTTTCTTGAAATAAAATGATTATAAAATTGCATTATAAAAATGTATGTTAACAATACAATAATGGCTATAATGATTTATTAAAAAGAATAAAAAATATTTATCGCATTTGCTAAATACTGTTTTACCAGAAGCTAGCACTCCTACTATGCCTCATTGCAAACAATACTGAAACCTTAAACAACAGGAATTAGAAAGAGTCTGCACTGCTCAAATTAATTTCTCAATGGATAACACTTAGAAACAAGTAATCCTCCTGGTGGGAATAAATCACCTGCATTAGACTTTCTTTGTGCCCAAGCTTTAGGTGGACAGAGAAGCATCTGTTGGCAGCAAGTGCCCCTCAGTCTGCCAAGACAGCTGAAGACCTGAAGGAGAGAATTTAGCTGACTAAACTTAAGCACTATGTTTATGTAAAAAACACTCCTCTCTTGAGACCTTTCAAAGGTACCAACCTCTTTTCACTGGGATACAGTACCTTCAGGCTACAACTTTAGCAGAACATCTTACAAGACTCCTAAAATTTAGGGAGGACTTTGATGAATTCACTCCTTATCCATACTTAAGATATTCTACTTGTTTGATTTTGATTATTTTCTTGATGCTGCCTCAAAAATACAAGTGAGAAAAACTAAAAGTTCTATTACAAAAACCTGCAATATTTGGTATGACTTACAGGGAATATGTCCCAAGAATAAAATGACTTATTTTTTAATAATTTTTTCAATAGCAGGAAGAATTATCTATGCATTTAAGATTATGATTTCAGAAGGAAGGTTAAGTATATGTCAAAAGTAAAACAATGTTGTTTCCTCAGCAAGGATAAAATCCACTTTGCCTGACTATAAGTAAAGGTTACAACTACAGGAAAAAGAAACACAGATGTCTCAGAAAAATACTTATATTTTATGTTCATCTTATCTTGGAAGCATTTTACTCCAAATAAAAGCTGTTCCCAAGCATACAGGATAGGTATCAAGTCAATCTGTGAATGAATAAATAAATGGATCATGGAAGTTTTGTTAAAAGATAAGAAAACCCTATGGCAAGTTTCTTAAAACTAAGTGTCTGTAGTCAGGCTTCTTAGCTGAGTCTAAAGCTCTTCACAGTTGATCTACCATGATACTTGAATACATACTTAACATTACCTTGGACATACACTGGGGCTACTGAGTATTCTTAGAGCCAAGTGTGTGCTTAACTTTGTTCCTGGATCTGAAATTATTTAGTATTCAGTGTTTTGCAAGAGCTAAAATCTCAGGCCTTGAGAGAACCCAACCATGGAACTACAATTTTTCAAACATATAAAAGGAAGATGGAAGTTCAATTTGTACAGCAGTTGTCTTCCATAATTACTTCTTTTCTACAGTGAAGACTGTCGTGATTGTATGCTCAGTATTTTTCAAAAGAGATTTAGAGGCCAAATTTTGGACATACACTTTTCAAATGTTACTCCACATTACTATCTAATAAAGGGGAGAATGTATCATCATGAGAGCAGAAATCAAAATGATTCTATAAATATTACTGAATGAATATTCACTTAGAATTTTAGATTAATACTGAATATAACAAACTGTTTGACTTAGCATTTTTTAACTCATAGATTCAAAATAATTATCATTGTGAAAACTCTTAACATTACAGATAACACAATTATAAGCTTCTTATAAAATCACAAAGTTGCAATATTGTGAATGAAATAACTACTTTTGTTAAGAAAATAATTTATTTTCCATAGTCACAACATATAATCTAGTATCAGTTACTGTACATATATTTTCTTGCAATACTCTGACTGTCTATGAATACTGGATCCACAGATGCCACTTTTGCTGCTATAAAGGAGTGAATACAGTGTAAAACTGCCGTCAGATCCTGAAATTCAAGTTCCTGAAAGAAGTAAGAGAAAAAAAAAGAGAAAATTTGAATTCAATTCAGGTTTATGAACATTTTACATGAACACAGACCAGGCTACTTAGAAAAAAATAATGGCCTTTACATGAGAATTGAGTTTTTATAGGAAACTGCAATATTAAAATAGTTAAGAATAAAAGCTGTATATCCATAATACCTTGTTAACAGGCAGTGCCACATGTCAATTTAGTTTTCACTCTTTGCTACTCTATTGTTTACATTGTACTCAGCTTGGACAATGAAATCAGTCAACTTGAAAGAACATTCAAATATTGTAACATAGAATAATTCAGGTTGGAAAAGATCTTGAAGATCGTTGAGTCCAACAATTAACCCAGCACTGCCAAGTCTACCAGTAAACCATGCCTTATCTACACTTATCTCCTGGGATGCTGTGATTCAACCACTTCCCTACATAGTCTATTCCAGTGCTTGTCAACCAACCCTTTTGGTGAAGAAATTTTTCTTAATCCCCAATCTAAACTTCCCCTGGCACAAGCTAAGGCCATTTCCTTTTGTCCTATCACTTGTAACTTGTTTCAGGCAATTGTAGAGAGTGGCAAGATCTTCCCTGAGACCCCTTTTCTCCAGGCTAAAAATTCTCAGCTCCTTCAGCCACTCCTCAAATGACATGCCTGTGTGATCCTTAACCAGCTCTGTTGCCTTTCTTGAAGTGAGTGGCCCAGAACTGGACACAGCAGTCATGGTGTGGCCTCATGAGTGCTGAGTACAGGGGGACAATCCCTGTCCTGCTCCTGCTGGCCGCACTATCGCTGACTCAGGCCAGGATGCCACTGGCCTTCTTGGCCACTTGGGCACACTGATTCTTCAGCTGTGGTTAACCAGCATCCTCAGATCTTTTCCCTCTCCAGGCAGCTTTCCAGCCCCTCTGACCCAGCCTGTAGCACTTCAAGGAGCTGCTGTGACCCAAGGGCAGGATTTGGTACTCGGCACTGTTGAACATTATTAAAGTATTTGACAAATTAAGGCTGTTTGAGGATGATGTGGTATCAAGTAGGTAGGGGGAGGAGATCACATCTTTTGTCAGCCTCTGAAGGAGAGATGTGAAGCCAGAGGCAGGGTGAAAGATAAGGTGAAGTCACAGCACACACCACACCTGAGAAACAAACATGGCTGGGTATGAAATTCATACACATTGATTCACAAAGAAAGGCAGAATTATTCCCAAACAGTTCTCAGATTTGTTTGCTTTTTACATCATATTTAATCTTGTGCACACAAGTTAACTTTCTTTTTCCCTATGAACCCAGACAGTAATAGATAGTCTGATACAATGACATGTAAATATAATATAATAAAAACAAATATAATGAAAAAAACATGTTCAATTTAAGTTACACCACTATGTGTGAAGTCTGCAGCTGGTAAATATATTGTGGGGACACCCAAGAGAGTTTTTGGCCTGAGCAGAAGACTATTTTTACCAATCTGATGGCTAACTAGTTGTTTGTTGAGGCATACTCCCTATGCTTGTTCTTAAGCAAAAAAATAAAGCACTGGACTTCTGCTTTTTCTGTAACAGAACTCTGTAGTGTGTTCTAAACAAAACTGGCCCAAAGAGAATATTTGGAATTCAAACTTACTGTTCCAGAATAGTTAACTATCACATAATTTTGTTATCCAAGGCCAGGATATTGTTATTTTATGTTATGTTATATTTATATTATTTATATAGGATATAAACCCTATTTACTAGGCACAAGTGGCCCTTACTACTAATTAATTATTCATTAATATTTTTGGGGCATGATTTTGTGAGCCTATTTGGGGCACAACTGGAAAATTTTTGGGAGTAGAGGGATCTGCAGGCACAGCCTCTTCAAGGAGAGTCTGTGTCACATACAGAAGGTTCTAGACAGGTTCAACTAATGCACCACCAGGCACAGCTGAGCCCCACAGTGAGGCAGGGGTACATCCAGGTAAATGTATGTAAGAAAGGGCAGAAAGTTCCCCAAAAAGTTAAGCAAGGCCAGTGAAGCAAGAGGTGCTCCATAGCAGAGCAGGTAACACACCTGAAGGGACTGAAACTGATGGAGAAGCCATAGCGGAGCAGAATAAAGTGTGAGTATATTTAACCCCATGTCATCTTTGTCATAAATTTTGGGAGCAAAATGCTCCTGTTGTTTCCATTTTAAATGACATTTAACTGACATTTGAGGAGAAAATATGGAAGTTTCTTAAAATACATTTTATTGATAGCAGATGTTGACTTTAAATATTAATATAAATTTATATACACATTTCCAGGAAAAATCCCTGCAATGCCACTATTTAAATCTCTTTATCTAAGTTGTATAAAACTAAAATTGGGTACATAGTCATGATTATTAATGAAATATGAACCAATATAGGCCTCAATACATAAGTTTTGGCTCAATCAAATGTTTTACATCTACTGAAATTCCATCTTCAAAACCAAGAAATTTAAAAAAATGACCATTTCCATTAATCTTAGATTTGCTCCAAAATCAACTGAAATCACCCAGCAATTTCACCTTAGGTTCTGACATTTGACACACTGACCAAACACAGGCAAACAAACAGAGAGAGTGGAGCCTTTCATAGAATTCCCATTTCTCAACTCCAGCTTTATGCACTTCCAATCTATAAATGTTTATGGATACAAGCAAACAGAGGTAACCTAACACATACTGCAGACAGGATTTCAGACTGTTCTAACAATATAATTTGGAGAGCTCTGGGTGTAGAAAAGGGCAAAGACAGGAACATCTTATCACTGTGAGTCAGTCTTTCCCAATGTCCCAACTGCAGAGTCCTGTGTTTCCATCACAGTTCAGAGCATCAAACTGCAGTAGCCCCTCCTCAGTATCTGAGAGAAGTCATCTAATCTGTTGTGAATAACCTTTTGAATACTAACATGCTCTTGTTTCTGTAAGATACAATCTACATAGCAATACATAGGAAGACTAGCAGTAACACTAAACCTGTATTTTATGTAACAACAACACTATTTTCTGCAGGTAATACTGCAAGTATTCCATTTTTGGATTATTTTCAAGCATGGTGCCAATTTTGAAAGTTATTACAGAGCTGGAAAGCAAAATGTGTTGCATATAAGCACTCCTCATGCAGTTTACCAGCTGATCCACTCCTCTTGTCTCTCACATCTTCACTATTTAATGTTAGCTTTGTGCAGTGAGAGCAATCATCTGGGATCATAAAACAGGAGCAGAGCTCTGGAGATGTTGTCTTGCAGGCCCCAGTTAGATGTGGCCTCCTATGGTGGCATCAGAAAGGTGGGGCTCATCTGAGGCCTCATGCACCAGAACTTCCAGAAATTCAGCTTGTCATAGGAGTATATGATCCAGAAGTCCACTAATGGGGTAAGACTGTGGAGCTTTGTGTCTGAGGGATGTTTGATGCCTGTGCTGACTGTCTTTGCAATCCTGCAGCCAGCTAGTCAGCTGTAGATAATGAGGAATACTCACACATATCTAAGGATAAACTGGGGTGGGGATTTGCTTGCATGTAAATTACAATAGGGGAAGGGGAAGACCTTGACTGGTGGTTAGTTTGAGAATTTGGATTTAGTAAAAGATAAAGATGCCTTTCTGACTTGGGAAAATGTAGATGTTACAGTCTGAAGACTGGGGCACAATATGTCTCTTTGCTATCTTGAATACAGTTTTATAGGTGGAAATTTAGCCTTTTTAGCTTTGGAATGTAGTATGAATTCTTCCTAGAAAACAACACCATGACACTTCTTTCAAACAAATACATTGCTCTGAAAGATTACTTTTTTTAAAGTAGCATTTCTCTCTGTGCTCAGTCAGGCAGATGAGTAACTGATAATTTTATTTGTGCTATATCATCTAACAGCACTTGTGGGAAATAGAAAAATAGAAACTTCCACAGAAGCTGAAGGGTTCAATCTGCAGCCTTGGAAAGAGTTTGGGTTAATGTAATGCTAAAGGTACACAAACGTTAAGTAGAAAAAAAACCAAACTTATGCTCCTATAATTGTAAGTAAGAATATGCCATGAGTAAGTAAGAAATTATATTAGATAAAACAGTAAGAAGTTTAAGCTGTAATAATATGACTTATAGGGTAGGCTAAGGATCTAAAAGCTATAATAAAGGTGTGTGTGGGTACGTGACCTATCAGTTTATTGGCTGAAAGACAAAAATTAGGCCAAATTAGGCAAAGGTGATAGGTTATTAAGCAGAAACAAATTTTGTGTTAACTGTCTATTGGACCAAAATGTTATATATTGTTGTGTGAAGAAGAAACCCATGACTACCTTTAAGCTATGGCTGACTTGTTGCTTCTCTCCAAATCTCATGCCTTCGAGACTGATAACTTATCTGGCTTACTTAAGCAATAAATCATCTTAAATAGCACGGTGGTCCCATCCCCCGTTTTTCATCTCGACAAGCATCCTTATACTTGATTTCATTATATGAGTTTGCTTTTTTCTTTAATTGAGACTGTCAGTTTTTAAGGAGAATCTGTGCATGTCTAATATTTCAATAACCGAAGCTATTTCAGTTTACTCTATGTACCATAATAAGCAGATTAAGTACAACAAAAGCACTAGAAGGAAGACACTGAGAGAAGAACACAAAAGGTTGGATTATAGCAGTGGGAGGACAAGACTGCAAAACCTCCTGCTGGTACTGAAATTATAAAAAATGAGTACACTGCACTGACCTCCTTCACTGTATGTACAGGGCCAAGGAAGAAAAATATACGCTCTTATTTCATCCACCCACTAGGAGAGTTGGATTTGTTACATATCATAAACAGCTTGACAGGTGTGTTGCATTATTACCATGCATGCAATTTTATAGAGAACTTCTGAGAGCTGTTGAGTCACTATTAGAACAAGACATGAGCCTGTATCACATAAAAGGCAAATAATGGAGATGCTGACAGTGTTATTGTGCCCTGTGCATTTCATGACTTTGAAGACATTGGTAAGCCTCAGTGTATTTGTTGACCAGAGCAGAACTATTACCATTGTATTATTCAAGATATGTTTTCCAATCAGATTGATTTTCTTTTTAGTTATTGTGGGTTTTTTGTCTGTTTGCTTGTTTGTTTTTGGTTTTGTTGTTGTTTTTGTTTTATTTTCTGGGTTTTTTTTTTGTTTGTTCGTTAGTTGGTTTGGGTTGGGTTTTTTATCAGGTTAAAAGACCAAATAAAGATATCAAGGTTTTAGCTCCAGATAACATAAAAGTCAAAATGGAAATCAAAATTCTAAATTTGGTTCAATATCTCAACAAGTATAGCAGGGCTTGGTTGCCATATCATGGATGAGAAGAACATGCAGGGCTCTTAAATTATCTTCTTGTAATAGATAAGAAATTTATGAGACCAGCAACATCTACTTCAAACTTCAATATGGCTCACAATACTCTATTGATCACAATGGTTTCTTTCTTCAATAAATATTTGAGAATTCCCTTGAGAAAAGGGAATGGTTTCTTACCTTTCTTCAATAAATATTTGAGGTTAAGTAAGATGAAAAGAAAAGGGAAATGCTCAATTAAAATATGCTTGGGAAAATAGTCTTATCTTCCAGATATATACCTACAGTTTAGCAAAGGGAAATAAAGCATCAATACAAACTTGAAAGTATTAATCTTATTTTTTTTCTTTTTTTAGAGCAACCTGGAAAATTTGGTCAACAAATACCTACTATTATTACTTGTAATTTCTCAATACTAAAGGCAGGATTGGTTCAGGGAAGTACTGAAGTGGGAAACTATAGGAAGTTGTAGGGAATATGAAGAACCTGAAGGAGAAATAAGTGACAGGAATCTTTTCCTTATTATCTCCTTTCAACAGAAAACTTTTTAAATGGAAGAATGTATTGTTCACCTAAAATTAAAATGCAAAGGAAGATGTCCTTGGCTTAAAATTTAGAAGTCAAAATAGGAGAAGAAACATCACATCTAGCTAGTAAACAAGAAACAAAAATAGAATTCCCAATTGTGATTTTTTTTTTACACCCCCCCAAGAATTCATAATAATAAAATTAGACATAGTCTGGAAATTTCTTTTGCAACCTTGATTCTCTGTTTTCCACCAAGGGAACATTAGGCATTTGCATCAAGCTCTCTTTCGTGCATAGTGGCTCATTTACGCAGGAAAAATGAAATTTCTATTATTTGATAACATTCTTGTTTCTCATTATTGGCTGCATTTCACTGTATCGCACCATCTGGCCCTATGAAATTTCTTCCAGTGCAACAAGCAGAGGCAAATACTGGATTGAACTATGGGCTGGGCATTTTTCAGCCAGCCTGTAACTCTCAAGTCTAAGAAATCATACCATTTAGATGGTGGGCATACAATTGATTATATATACCAGTTATCTGAAGTTGAGAGGCTGCACAGCTGTGTCCCAGTCCCATTTAATGTGAAACCCTAGTAGGTAAATTGCACTTTGCAGAGGCAATTGTGAAAGGTGTAATCACTGAAATGCTGATAAATCCTCAGGCACTTAGTATCAGATTTTCCTCTGGCCTTTAATGAGCTTTTCCTGGGATCTTCCAACATTTACATCTCAGATGTACTTTTGGATATATAGATATTAAGAATTCTGTATGAACCAATCCCTTATCAACTTCCATCTGATACTTTCAAGGTACCTCACAAATATTCTTGTCAATTTTGCCAATTACAGGGTGTTTTCATTAGAGCCATGCAAAAGAATAATTTTTAACGTTTTAACAAATCTGTCTCCTGAAGAAAATTTACTGCAAAATTATCATAAGGGCTCACTTATAATAATTTTAGAGATAATAAAATTTTCATAAAAATGCTAAAATTTACAATTTTTCTATCTAAAGAGTAAAATCAGGTAAAACCAATTAAAAACAATCTAATTTTCACAAAAGGTAACGATTAAATAAAATTTAAAAGATCAGATTGTTTACCACAAAAGAAAGAGGAATGATACATTATTACAGTAATAGAATTTTACAAACAAAGGAATTTCAGCCCTTGGCTAATCACACAGAGTGACTGATGATTTAATGCACAGACATACACAAAGTAGTTTATGCATGAGTACAATCTTCCTGTCTAACCTGAAACAAGTTATGTAAGCTCTCTGCAACAGATATCACATATAAAATGAAGACACTAGTACTTTTCTGTCTCCAAGGACTACTGTGAGAAATGAAGTGGAAATGTCCTGCTAGTAGACAAATTATTATACATTTTACCTTTTGTAACAGATATTATAGTATCTTTTACAGTAGAGCCAAGAGGTAACTCAGGTCAAGCTTGCTGATGAAATTCTGAATAATTTACTAATACAGATGTATAAAGAAAGATATAAAATCCAGGTATGAGTATTTGAAAACTTTCACAGGTCTTCAGATACTTTTTCTGTTCTTTCACTGGCTTTTGTCAACCAAAACCCAGCTGAACCACACTCTTATCTTCCTCTTCTATGTCATTTCACATGAAAGTTCTCCTCATTCTTTTTAAAACCACATAACTGAATGCAGTGGTTTAGATTTGCCAATTTGAGTTTCCCAGCCAGTGTACCAAATAAACTGTTTATTTTTCATTCAATAAAATCTTGGGATCAAATTTTACTTTTACTTTTTTTTTTTTTAAATGCAGATTTTAGACACTGTATCTACTATAGGTTGACAGAATAACTTCAGAGAAATTATCATTTTGAAAGAGAAAAATACTATCATAACACAACAATAGGAGGCTTGTAGAAATAGTGCAATAAATCTATGGGTATTACATTGCTTCCATGTATTGTGGAGTTTCAATAGAATTGGCAAAAAGGGATAAGCTGTGGTGTGTTCAACATGTGTATGTCCCAGTGAATGGGATTTCTGATTCTTTGACAGTAATTTTATGTCATGTTTAACTGAATTGAAAAAGAGGATGTTGCTTACCTTTGTCTCAATTTGTTTGGTGTCTAGATTTTGAAAAAGCAGCTTTACTCTTGTTTTCCCATCATCTGATGAGCCTTTGAGCTGAGAGAATTTAAACCTCCACAGCACATTCTAAAGGAAAAGAAATTTGATTAAGGACTCTGCTACATGCTTTTACCTAAAACTGTAGAATGATGATATATGTTTGTGTAATAAAATAAAGCACTACAGCAGTAATGCAGTGCATGAGAACAGGTTCTTTGCAGTGCAATTGAAATTAACATTTCTGTACCCTTTGTGAAAGCAAAAGTTGCAATATTAAAATTCACTAATAAAACAATTTTAAAATTCTCTGTGATATATATATGTTTCAATTGCCTACACACCATAAAGACGGCAAAAACTTAATTCCATAAAGATCCATGAGGATATTTGTATCAGTTTCAGTATGAACACAACTCCATGCCATATCTTGATCTTTCCTATTTCAGCTGGTTCATTAGCATAACGTAGGTAAGTGTGACTTACACAGACATTGAAAAGCTGAATTTAATGATGTGTGAAAAGTGGTCTGAAATTCTAAAAAAAGCATTAGCAACGCAAAAATATTATTGCACATAGTCTCTGAAACCATAAAAACTTGTCCTACATTATATAATGGTTTGTAAAATAAATGACTTCTCAGCTTCTCGGTCTCCCACAGCTTTATGTATGGCATCTTACTAGTGTTGGAAAATTCTAGATTGACAGATATGCTGTAATATTTATGGAGATATTTTGTAAAAAAAATAATTGGGAAATTATTTTTGAAATTAAGATAATTTTCTGTATTTATCTGAGTGTTTTCTATTCATCATATGTGTAATTAGAAAAAACCCCGCAAGGTAACAACTTGCACCCTGACTTCCTGCTGGTGTTTCCTTTAATGCCTATAATCTTAATAAAAATTCTCTGCACATGTTGAAATGTGCTTCAGTCCCTGGACATTGCTGAATAAACACAATTGAAATACTTGGGAGGTTATCTTAAAAGTACACATAGAAAAAGAGTTTGCTGTGTTCCACTTTCCAACCTGCCTCTTCTCAAGATATTTTTTTAAGTAGACCAGTATTTTTTTAAGTGCTACCAGTGGTCTTCAGAACCCTACTCGTAGTTTAAAATGGAATGTCCTATAAATTAAAAACTCCTAGTTCCCTGCAGACATAAATGTCACCAACTTTTAAGAGAGATATAACAGATGAAGAAAAACTGAAGTATGCTACAGCACTGTGATGGTGCTTAAACCTTACATTCACAAACAGATTTTAACTGGGTCCAGAGGGCCTAATTAGACCACCTGAGAAGTGTTCAAAGCTTAATGAGTTTGGCTCTAAACAGGATAGATGAATGTTCGCTGTGTAATATAACTGCTAAGGTGGAGATGAATCAAGAACTTAGGAACAATTTAGTAATAATAAGCATTGCTGGAGTCATCATCTCTATCAACAGTTGACACTGAGTGGGAAAGACAAGAAGTAGAGAGCACTGGAAGATGGAAGAGAATGCACACTTTGGGATTCCTTTATATTGGAGGAGTGGCTGGAGGCACAGGATGAGGGAGATGAACCAACCAAGCTGACAAGATAAAAAGAATCTCTACAATGAAATATAAAGCAGATGCAGGCTACAGAAGTATCTCAGTGATGGGCCCAAAAAAGATAGAAGCTGAATTAATTAAGCCCATCAAGAGCCTGGAATGAAATATGCAGGGAAAGAAACTGTTCTAGGAAAGTTCTTAAAAGATATATTTATTGTGCTGAAGAGATGAGTGTGAATATGGGAGAGAAAAAACCCTACAGTTATCACTGTCAGTGAAGAAGAGAAAGGAGGTGCTGTTCCTGAAGGACTGCACCTAGTGGGAAGGACCCATGCTGGAGCAGTTCATGAAGAGCTGCAGCTCATGGGAAGGACTCATGCTGGATTCTGGAGGACATTTTCTTCCCTAGTGGGAAGGAACTCCATGCTGGAGCAGGAGAAGATTGTGAGGAGCTTTCCTCCTTAGTTGGGAAGTGGGGCAGAGACAACATGTGGTGAGCTGGCTACAGTGCCTGTTCCCAACCTGGCTGTGCTGGGGGAGAGGAGGAGATAAAGAAAATTGTGAAACAGAGAGGGGTGGGGGGAAGGTGTTTTAAGATCTGGTTTTTTTTTCTTATTATCATACTCTGATTTGATTGACAATAAATTAAACTAATTTGTCCAATTAGTCTGTTTTGCCCACGATGGTCACTGGTGAGTGACCTCTCCCTGCCTTTATCTTGACCCACAAGCCTTTCATTGTATTTCCTCTCATTTGCACAACTCAGGAGGAAGCCAAGTAAACTACCCACACTCCAAAGGAAAAGTCCTTGTGCTCTTTATTTCAGGATTTGTAATAAGAAGGCTCTTTTAAAACTGTTTTTCAAAATGTAAAAAAGAATGTTTTTCAATGAGCACATGAGCTGGATGTCCAAAATTTGAGATCCAGATTTAGAGTCATAGAGCAGACAGAGGACTGACCTTCATTTTAATAATCCCCTTTGAACACTTGCTGGGATGTAAGAGGATTCTTTGCATCAATAGAAGACTTACATTTTTTCATTAACTCCATGAAAAAATAGATTCTTCAGTAAAATTGCTATGTCCCTAATGAACTGTTAATTGCTTGACCACTTTAAGAATCTTTCTCGCACTGGTAGGAAATATTCTGAAATAGCTATGCATATGGGAAAACACAGTAAACTTCAGGTGACAATTATGGGGAGATGAACTGCAGAAGTCACCCATTACTGCCTCATTCAGGCTTGAGGATGCAGAAAACATCTCCATCTCTCACACAGATGAAGAATAAATGTACTTGAGCTCTCCAGAATTTTTACTGTTTACCAATGGCATCAGTCTATATGTTGGTATTCTGTGTTTCTTCTTAGTTAAGCAACAATGATTCATCCAATACCTCCTCCTCATCAATACTGAAGGTAGGTACTGTGACACAAAGTCCTATTAATAAAGTAAGGCTACAATTTGAAAGGTGGGAGTATATGCAATCTTTCTTCACATTTAAAAGAAACCCTTTCTATAGGCTAGGGAGATTACTTCTTACAGTTAATCTGTGGTTACATGCAAAATGTGTATAATAGTTCAAGAAGGAAGATTCCAGAAAGCAGTAGAACCTGAGGGAGAGAAGAGTATATAAAAGCATTTTCTGAATTTTTTTTCCTGCTTCACGGGATGCACACTTAACTTAATTAGTCTAAATTTTCATGCAATTTTGGTCATTATTTCTCTGCACAAAGATTTCAATAGATTTGAAATTTTGGGGCATTTTGTCTCCAAACCCAAAAAATGCCAACATGCATAAACTAAATAATGTATCAGTATTTCAAAAGTGTTCCCTCTTTTCTCAGAATTTCTGCTGAAATTTCTGATTTTTATTTTATTTTTAAAAAATATTTGAGAAGACAGACCTTCTACTTCACAGTTCTATCAATTCAGAAATATTTTTGTATATATGTTTATTTCTATCGCCAAACAAATGTTAAAATCCACATAGAAAAATATACATTAAAGTACCACTAAATTATACAGAAAATAGTAACATTACAGACAGGGCTTGGAAGCTGGCATGTATCATTAACCATTCCTTGTAGACACTTTCTATATAATCACTGTTTTGCAGGATACGTGTGTGTAATCTTTCTGACCCTGAAAAACATTTGCCTTTATTCTGTTTATTTTAGAGATGACCTAAATTTCTTATGATGGAAGAATAATTAATCCTATTTTATATCTGTAGCTTCAAAACACATAGAATCAGGTGACATCTCATTTTTTTCATTACTTATAATATTTTATAAATCTTGAAGTTGCTTCATTGTAACAAACCAAGTTCTCTGCTAAATATAACCTTCCTTTGCTTTTATTACTTGAAAAGGAAGTTACTTTTTTCATCTATTTCTCAAAAATGTATCTTTACATGCTACACAGCTATAATTACCCCTTTCAAGTCTCAAAATGACTAAATTTCAGTATTTATTTTAAATAAATAAATAGTACAGTATATTGGAGGAATAAATGCTGGACATAAACATAAAATGCAATAGATGATAACTTCAATAACTGTAAAACAATACAGATATGTTTTCCTTTTCTTTTACTCTTACCTTTGTTTTACTGTCAAAACAGGTAAATCCTAGAGCAAAGTCGACTGTGAAACACAGGGTATCCCCTTGCCAACTGCACATATATGTTTTAGACTGAAAAAAAAAAGTATGATTTTTGAGAGGACAACCATCACTTATAAATTATAGAATTAAAATAATATTTTATGCAGGTATTTTTGGCTGAGAAGACACTCAGCTGACAGCACTGGTACTGCTTTATATTACTGTGTTTGAAAATGGTCAAAAACTTCTGCCTGTAAATCAGTGTCACATCTGTCAGTTAGACATTAACTGCAGGTCTTTCACATTTCAAGCCACTCTTCTACAAAATATACTCTTGAAAACCAGCCCCTGAAAAACACAACAGAGAACAAAGAAAACCAAATCTGACTACTCTAAACTTTTGGAAGACTGCTTAGACCTCGGCCATTAATGACTTCTGATATCACTTCCAGAAAATGTGCAGGCAACAATGCCTAAATGTTCAGTCATTGCAATCTAATTATAGAAAAGCATTCTGTCTGCTTGACCTCTCAATCTGATTTAAACTTTATAGAGAATCTTTCTAATTTATAACACTTTTTAATTTGGGTCTGGTGATACGTCAGCACGGCACTAAGGTAATGTTAGTTAATCTAATTTAATAGTAAGACCTAACAATGTGTCTAGTTAGCACTGATACTTGCTAGACACCACTGTATCTATACACCAATTCCATGGTGACCTTTCAGATTAGAAAGGAAAAAAGTCTGTTTTATTAACGAAACTCAGTAGTTCTGGTTAAAGTTATGAATAAGCTTTACAGTAAAAAGTCATTTGACTCTTTCCAGGCATTTTTAAGGCTCACTAACAACTTCTGAGAAGACATGAACAAGATTTGCTGTAATATGGAGCAGCCCAATAATGTTCCCCACTGACAGTTAATAGCAAAAAGCTCATTGCCTTCAGCATGAGTAGAGATCAGATCATGTCTCCAGTCTTTCCTTGCCACACCTTACCAGCTATTTTTAGGATTATACCCTTGTGCCCTATGAAATCTGGATTTTTTTTGTTTCTTCCAAGGAAGCATTACTTCACTGTCATTGATGTATCATAAAACTCAGTGTTGCCTCATGCTTAGACATTTGTTTACATAAAAGTTTTGCATCTGGATAGTTTATTTTAATTAAAAAAGACCTAAACCTTTACACACAAGAATGCTCTAGTGGAGACTGAAAACATTAATAAAACTTGCCTAAAATTCAAACTGCCATTTGAATTGTTTTTTTAAATTTTTTTTTAGTATAGTCTAAAACTTTTGGATGATTGTAAAGGTTTCATCACTCTAATATTAATAAAAATAGTTAGTTACAATAAAATAAGCATTTTTGAGTTACAGTTATGACATTTTAAAAAGGATTTGGAAAGGGCTAGGAGTAATATCAGTTAATAAGTGCAGATTAGTATTATAATCATCTTCACAATAATGGAGATGTATAATATTTCTGAATAAATTAATTTGCTCATTGGTGTTCAAAGACCATATTATTTGGCATTTAAAAGGTTTCAGTGATTGATTTTCAATTAGAATGACATTTATATATCCTTACATTTCATTCAGTAATTAAAAGGTGGCATTAAGCATCAGTCATAACTTATTCTCCATTATTTTCCAATTAAAAAGGTCATACCAGCTGAGATCTGACTGAGCAAAGCAATTTTTAATACGAATAAAATTAGATTACCCTAATGGGTAAGCATCTAATTGCTCAGCCACAAATGGTGAATACTAAAATGAACTATGCACAAATAATGAGCTTGGAGTACTTTAAAAATATTCAATATTAGGACATAATGGGACCAGTTTTGAAATTATTCACAAATACTAGAGACAAACATAACATGCTTAATTTTCACTGTTATTAAAAATAGATATGTGTTTTGTACTTACAAAATAGACTCACAGGGTTTTCTTTACAATAAAATTAGTTTTTATTTTTCCATAAAAGTTTAAAAGCCTGCTCATGGCATCTCCTCAGCGGCTCTGAACAGGTTCTCAGAAAGCTCTATGGTAAGGAGCCTCATCTCAACTCATTAACACTTGGACAGAGTCTTATTCATTTCCATTTTTGCATTTGGAATAAGCTTCCCATACACTTGCAATTGTGAACACCCTTGGCTCTCTACAACAATTTTTTACATGGAAACTTAACATCAGAAGTCTAGGCTCAGCTGTCTTTAAGTGAATTTTGCAAAAAAAAAAAAGCACTGCATATTAGCTAGATTAGTGAGTCAATAAATATTCTTTTAACTCATGAAAAGATCATTAAGTTGATAATATCACTGCTCAAATAGCATAAGAACAGTGTGTCTGACTCATTTATGACAGAATTCCTCAGACAGACCACCCGTCGCTGATAAGAAGCATGACTCTTGTCAATCTCTGGCTCTGGAATCTCCTTAAGGTCAGATTAACTATTAAGTCTGAGAGGGCTTAATGGTTACAATGACTACACATATACACTCTCTCTCTTTCCCACAGACAGAGATTTCCCAGAAATAATTCTGCTTTGAACTATGGTGGTCAAGAAACAAGTGGGCATAGCACTTAGTGCCATGGTCTAGTTAACTAGCTGGTGATCAGTCTAGTTTGACTTGATGATGTCGCAGCTCTTTTTCATCAGTTTTTATAAAAAGGCAAGGACAAGGGACAGTTTGCTTCAACACTCTAAAAGAAAGCCTTATGTAGGGTTCTGTCTAACAGTAAAAGACATTACAAATATAAACAATTACAAGCCAATTAATTCCAAAAACAGTTTCTGTGGTTATGAATTACTGTGACTCTTTCCCTCAGGGGAGAGAATGTGTTTGTAAACAGATCAGCTAACAAAAAAAACAAGGGCTTTGAACTCAGTTTATAGGTGCTGGGTACCCAAGACAAGAGGTGAGTAAACACTCAAACTGGAAAATGAATGCATGGGAAAAGACAAGAGGAACTTATTTCCACTCAGATAGGAGAGCACAAATATACCTCAGATATATGTGAGAGACAAAGCCTGAGGGACAAACAGAAAGAGGGAGCACCTCATGGGATATTCACCAGGCTGTGATGAGGCCAAAGCACAGACTGGGTGGGTACCAAGTACCACTGCAGCCCAGACAGAGATGTCTGGGGAAGGAAAGGCAAAGATAAAGAGGAACCAAATACTTCTAAATAAATCATGACATGCAACAGATTTTTTGCAATAGACTTTTGTTATTCCTGGAATATGAATTTATTTCAGTACTTTAGATGGAGGGCTTAAATTTGCCCAAGTTTTGCCACAGGCATCCAGTGTAGTATCTCTGGATTCTTTTTTGAAGACTGAGACCTTAATGTTATTCTGATGTGAGAGGGATTGTGTTCTGTCCAAGAAACAGGAGTTCAACTTCATTTTGTTTCTCAGTAAAATTCTTTTATATCAATATAAGAATAACTGTCAATTGAGATACCACATTCTGAGATCGTCAGCTAACATTCTTAGTAAAAAATACCATTTAACATAATTTTTTAAGGATCAGGGCACTGACCTTTTTCAGTCAGTACTCCTTTTCCTAAGTTCATGGTAAGTAAGTTTTCTAAGGAACAAGTCAGACTCAGTGATGTTGCTGATGTAAGTGTAACATGAAAATGACATAGTGTATATTCATTTTAATGGATATTGCTTTTACAACTCTAATCCTGTTGGTCCTAATGTCCTTCTTGATTTAGTTTCAAAAATTCAGCTGATGATTGTCTACATTGCAGTTCATTATTGTCTTGCATGAAGGAAATCCTCATTTTGTTTTAACTACAGTACCGATATGCAACATATTCACTAATTTTGGACTCAGACACATTCTATTGAGCAGGAATTTTAGTGTTTTTAATCAGCCAAAATAAAGAAATAATACCTATCTTCTAGTCTAAGTGAATACAAATTGGGCATGCACATGATTTTGCTTGTTTATTTTCCAAAAAGCAATTGGAAAGTTGGCAATACCATTACACTTTCCCTGCTAAGCTGTTAACTACTGCATAGATATAGATATACATCTGCTCTAAGATGAGCTGTAAAGGTTTATTACAAGCAAATGGGAACACAGACATTATTTCTCAATATACTCATAATATAGAATTTAACACACACTTTCTAAAACGAAATTATAACCATAGAGCACAGCATTAAGGCAATAGCCATATCCACGAGGTGCACATATTGTATACTGTATTCACTTTAAGTTAAAATATGTGCTATGCCTCTGTGTGGAAATAATATGCTACCAATGTAAAAAATGCTAAAATATTTCTGAAAATTTGCCTTTTCTTAGAAAAAGTATTTAAATTAAAATTAACTTATGCTATGAATCCAAAGAATATATTTTTGGAGTAGAAGACTCCAGCATTGCTAACTTGAACTGATAAAATTTTAGCATCCTCCAAATACCACTTCTACTTGTTTCTTTTTATTTCTGCTACCAAATCCTTCCCCTTTTTATATTTAATATTTTTCTCCGTTTTTCTGTCAATGTCAGTAAAAATTGGGAGGTATTTTGTAGGACTTGTCAGAGGAAGTTAATGCCTGAAAGACAGAAGGACCTAAATTATATGTTCTTTTATTCTGCATTAGAAATAAAATAATGCACACCGGCAGTTAAGATACAGTGAGAGGGAGGGAAAAAATTATACCAACAGCAGATGGTTTGGAACACATTCTTGCATGAAGACTTTACACAGCAGCTTTTTACAAGCTTCTAAATCATACAGGCATGAGAGGAGTAAGGTGTCTTAATGCATCCAATGTATTTACCAAAACACAGAGTTTGGTAAAAGCCTTAATATGGGACCAATTATGTAAAAAAAAAAAAAAAAAAAAAGTCTTTATGAAAATTCCAATTTTAGGATTAAAAAAAAATCCAAGTAGGATGTGAAAATGAAGATAAGAGGAACCAGAGTTATTAAGGTTGTACTGAGAAATATATATCAGCCCACACAGAGAGAGAGTACTAGAAGGCAAAATTAAACCCCTTAATTCTGAACCCAGCCTGCAAAACCTTTGAGTCTTTTTGCATAGAATTACTAATGCTAAACAGAA